ATGGCCTAAAGACAACTTCAGGGAGTAGCACTGCTCAATAGGGGTTTACTGTTGTTTTGTCACACCACAGAGACTCGTTCTTTCATCTTTGTTTATCAACGCCTGCTCGGCGGCAACATAATATAAATATCATAATATGTAAATCGCTTTGTACCACGATGTATAACTTTTTTCTGGCCTAATCAAGGAACTTTGCGGGGGACGAGTTCGTGATAAGTTTCTTCTAGTGATTATAACCTATTTTTAAATGGAGGGTTTTATTTTAAAATTCCACCGTCACCTCAGCCAGTCTCTAATTTGTATAATTAACATTCGAATTCGACACGGTTCCCTCTTAAAGCAGTGTTCTGGGGAACTGAGAAGTGCAATGAAGAGAAGAATGTATGAAATTGATTGGAAATTCTTGTGTACTAACTTTGTTCAATGCGGTTTTGTGTATGTGTCTAGTGCAGTGTGTACTATCCGATTCTAAACTTAACCTGTCGCTTTAAAGGAATTTGTCATTTGTGCAATTTTTTAAGGGGATGGGGGTGGTATCGTGTGAATTACACCCAGTCAGTTATACAAATCAATAGCCGCCCCCGGTTTTGAGTCTTCACTTTGAGTCAGTTGAATGTGTATGCATTGTTACAGTTTTAGTTTTATCGGGGGTCCAAAATAAAAGAAAAAATATGTGCCACTTTTTGATTGCGTGTAAAATCCTAATCCAGTTTACTGAGTCTTTTCCGAGGTGAGCGTCTGTTTTTACGCTTTTTCTGTCACGTGAGTAGTACGAAGTACTCTAAAAAGTAGGTCATGTTATAAAAATAACATTTTGGTGGTTAAATTAGTGTTCGCAGCATCAGTGGGAAAGAAAAGAAAATTGGCAACGATGTACTATTACTGTATGATCATTATCACTCCAGAAAGGTGGTAGGTTTAACTAAACATCAGAGAAATGAGCTATCGGCATGCTCCACGCGTTTCTACTGCTGCCAAGATATTCAACGTCAACAGATCTTTTTTATTTCTTAATGTGGGTGCCGTCTGAAGCACCAAAACGCTGTTTTTATAACGCAACTTACTTTTTAATTAGATAACTCACGTGAAGCTAAGAACGTAAAGACTCAAAAGATTAGATTTTTCTCACAGTCAAAAAGTGGTAGACCTAGATCTACCTTTTTTTTGGTTTGTGTTTTTGTTTTATCCTCAGTATATAT